GGAAGTCTGGAGAGACACTGGACAAGAGAGTGCTGGGACAGTCGAGTGTGGCTCACGGCAAAACTGCACCGATGGACTCGCGTGAAAAAAAAATCCTGTTATTACAAAATGAGGAGGAAAAAAAGTAGAAAAGACGAGCCAGAGAGAAAAAGAGAAAGGAAATTTATTTCTTATTGCTATTCGGCAGAAGCTGAAATCGGAGAGAGAACCAAGGAACAAAAAAAAAAAGAAAAAAAGAAGTTAAAGTATTTTGTACATTAAAAAATATGGAAAAATAACGTGGACGAATCTCGAGAGAATGGGAGGGAGTTACCAACTTAAAATGTACGTTTTTGTTTTTAAAATATGGGCTAAGAAGGCAAAACAGAAGGAAGAGGTATACTTATTTAAAGAATTAAGATGGAAAAAAGTATGCAGCTGGGAAGTTCACAGGTTTTGAAACTGACCTTTTTCTGCGAAGTTCACTTTAATACAAGAAATTTGATAAGAGAGGCGGGCCTCCTTTTACGTTGAATCAGATGCTTTGAGTTAAAAACCACCACGTATGGAAGAGTAAGAAGAGGGAAGACAGTATAAAAACGAGGAGAGGAAAAATGATGTTAGTACAAAAAAGATCACAGACAATGATTCTCTGAGAAATTATTATGGGAGAACTGTCCAGATTGCTGACAGTAAATTCTGGTTTGCATGTTACTTGTATTCCATTGATGGTGTCTCCCCCCTCCCTGCTTTACTGACATGCACTTAGCTCCATTTTCATCTTCAGTACGAAAAACAATACCTAAAGCGTCTGGAAATTGAAATATATTTCTATCTATGTATTTTTTTGCCCCATCTTTGATCCTGGGGGACAAAAGAAAAAAGCATTAAGAGAAAAAATTTACACTCTGATTGTCCCAAGAAAACGGAGGCAGGTAGAAAATGTGGGGAAAGGAAAAAGAAAACAATGAAATAATGAACGTACAGCGCCTCACGTAGTGCCTGATACATGCTAGGCGCTCAGTGTTAGTCCCTTCCCCTCCCCCTTTTCTTGTATTCCCTCTTGCTGATTTCCTGAAGTCCTCTTTGAGGACCGTGCTTTATTTCCCCCTCTCTACCCCATCACACTCACGTTAAACAACACCCAGCTAGATACAGGCACTAGGCTTGTGTAAAATATGTTGATACACACGAACAAAGTTTATTTTGGCTATAATGTGTGAACTGATGATTGACTTTCAACATTTTCATTTTATCTCACAAAGGTGTATATTCAAGTAATTTTTTTTGTTTGTCTCAATGTAGCTATTTAAACTGGGGTACCCTGGATTAAGCACTCTGTATCCCAATTATCTAAAAAGCCTCCTTAGTTTTTTTTTTTAACTCCTAATTTACAAGAAAGAGGAAAAGCTCCTTTAACTGAACTTTGGTATGCGGTTGAGCTTTGTAACTATTTGTTCTCCATGAAAACAAAATTATTTATATTTGCCATATTTTTTCTAGTGTATTAAGTTATTTTAAACAAAAGAAGATGCTGTTATTTCATGGCGTGTCGGTACAAAATGTTTCCGTTTCACCTCTGTTAAACCTTTTAAATAAGTGCCAAGTTATTAATTGAAGACACTTTGCGATCAATTGAATGAAAATAGTATTGTTTCATTTGATGGAGTTCGCGTCATCTTTGTTCCTGTTACTATTAAACTATCCGGGATAGTCTTTCCTTCTTCCTTTTTGATGAATGTGTAACTCTCGAATATACTAACTTGGTAAAGTGCTTGCCTCTGCACCTACGTGTCGCAATCAAGGGGCCCTGAGAATGGTGACTCGGAGCGAAATTCCCTCCACCCCACCCCGTTTTATCCACCTGGCACAGAAACCGGATTGATTTTATGCCAAATCAATAAAGACACCGATAATACGTAAAGTAAGGTAGAATAGAATAACCCCCTTCCCAAAGACGTACTCTCCTTCATTTTGCTGCACTTTCACCCCTAAAATTCATCTGGGGGAACATTTGGGGTAAGAAGGAAAGCGGGATCACGCGCTGCGAAATCCACCTGGGTTAACTGCAGCATAGTAGACACTCGCTCCCAGGTCGCCGACCCTCTCCAGAGTCCGGCAGGGCCGTGACGTTTTGGGAATAGGTTGAGAGATGCGAAGCGGGGCGGGGGCGCTGGGGAGGGCGGATCCCCCACCTCCCACTTCAGTTTAGTGCTTCAGTCCAAATAGCTTCTTCGTTAGTTAAGTTTAGGAAAAAGTAGAAGCCAGGACCGTGTTTAAGAAAAGCCGGGTCTTACCCGTCTGCTGGACACGAAGGATTCCCTCCCTCCCCCTTCCCGTCCCCTCTCCCATAAGAAATACTACCTAGTGAAGCCAGAAAGCGCTGCCTGTTTGGGGGTGGGTAGAGACCGTGAAGACCCGGGACAAGACCTTCCCTTCCCTTTCTTCTCGGCCCCTTGGGATGGGGGACACCCTCCACCAAGATCGAGAGTGTCCCAAGTGTCCCCTGGAGCCCCCTTTGGGCCGGAGGACGCGTAGAGGAGACCCTCCCTGCAAAAAAAGCCACGCGTCCTCGGGCAGTGCTCCCGCCGCGCCCACCCGGCCCTCTCCCGGGTTGAGCTCGCACTTGAAGCTGTTCCTCCGCGTAGACGTGGGTGATACGTTTATATTTATCTTTTAGCCTTTAAAGACCACTGAACAGGACTTGGGCCGTATTCAGCGCTTAGCCCTTGCGGGTCTTCTACTTGTCAAGCGTTCCTAGTTTTCATAATAAACATCTGCTTAGGGGCAGGGTGTACTTTGAAGCGGCCGCACCGCGCTGCCCGCCTCGGCCCAGTGGCCTCCGGCGAGCTCCTGCCGGCTCCTGGGTCCGAACCGGCAGGCGCCAAGCGCCAACCCTAATCCAGACCTCGACGCTGATTCGGACGTTTCCCTGGGCACCCCCAGGGAGGTTGGAGGTCACGGGAGAACTTGGGACCGGGAGTTGGCTGTTCCGTCCGTGGCCCAGCGGTGGGCGCGGCCGACGCGGAGCCCAGCCTGTCCCGGCATCTGAGCTCTGGGGGAGCCCGAGGTCAAGGAGGCGGTGCGTCCGGACCCACGCCGGCCGGGCGCCCAGTACCCGGGTAG